GAATGAAAATTGTCCACTACCACCTGGATTATATCATATCAATACCAGTACTATACTACCAAACATCTTTTGGCCAGTGAGTAACAGATACAGTGTATCATTATTACTATTCTATTTCATAGGGTCAGTATTATGGTAAAGCAACTGCTTACAATGAGAAAGGGGAGCAAATGATGTGTGAAATGGAAGATTTCTTATTGATTGAATAAAGATTAAATGTGTGAAATGGAAGATTTCTTATTGATTGAATAAAGATTAAGGTACACTATAATAATAATTATTATTCATAGATAGTCTAGTACTTGTATATTACATGCACAAAATTAAAGCAAAATATTTTTCTCTAATTTACCAATGATATACCTTCACACTGTCAGACTAAATATTATACTTGACTTACTGATACCATTTTGCATGCTGGAACAAATGATAGAAGCCAAAGTCCACGTAGCCTATGCATGGTCTTTGGCGCAATTTCTAGCAACTTTAAAAAAAATTTTAATCCAATTTTGGTCAAAATCAGTTTCAAGTTTCTACACAACATAAGTACACCTAGATCTATATGTATGAGAAAAATTATAAAAAGGGAGAATTCTCTTTCTAGTCATTTTTGGCATAAATTGGCCAAAGTCCCTCCAAAAAATCAGATCAAACATTGACACAGTTTAAGAAATAAAAAATTGAGATTTCCTACCCAGTCAATTTTGATGAAATAAATTTTAAAGTTCTTATTTAAAATACAAATTTCATCAGCAGTTCAAAATTAATACATCACATAAGGACATGTATAAAATACTAGAGATGTATTATTATGATTGTCACTGTGTCTGATAAAAATAATGATTAATTTTAGATTGGGAGGAGTTATAAATAGGCTGACAAGCTATGAATACCATTAGTTACCAAGATGAGCAGTACAGGAAAGAAGGAGCTGGTCATTGCAAAGAAGATTGAGAGTGTTTTTTTCATTGTTCTTCTTGCTGTGGTGCTGGGCTTATTCACAGTTCCAATAATAGTCTACTATAGATCTACTTCAGTAAGTGTTTTACTTAATGATGCTAGTGAACTAGTATAATACTAATGAACTGTGATATCTTAGTTAACAAACAAGCACTATGGTCATTGCATCTTGTTTGAAATTTAAATCAATTCGTCTTCACAATAATTATTATATTTTAACCTTTGAGCCATCCAAAAATACAATGCAAAATGTGTATAAGGTAAGACATAAGATCTTAGAGTAATGTCACCAAGACCTAATGCATTTGACTCAGTATTCAACTGACATCATAAGTTTACTGTGATTTAAGTATGTGTATAGATCTACATCAAGTTAACATGCAAATTATGTACAGCAGTTATTAAAAGCTTTAGTCTACCAACTTTCAATTTAGAATGCACATAATTCAGGCATCAATAACAATGGGAATCTTAGCGAAGGAGCAATCAACAACACTAATGTAAGCCAGAACTGCACTGAACTATCATGGAG